TATGTATGTATGTATGTATGTATGTATGTATGTATGTATGTATGTATGTATGTATGTATGTATGTATGTATGTATGTATGTATGTATGTATGTATGTATGTATGTATGTATGTATGTATGTATGTATGTATGTATGTATGTATGTATGTATGTATGTACGTACGTACGTACGTACGTACGTACGTATGTATGTATGTATGTATGTATGTATGTATGTATGCATGCATGTATGTATGTATGTATGTATGTATGTATGTATGTATGTATGTATGTATGTATGTATGTATGTATGTGTATGTATGTATGCATTCATAATATGGAGTAATGTAAACATACCTTCAACTTTACAACTCGACAATGTGTCATTTTTCCTAGTTTGGCTTATTTGTCTAAATTATCAATTGATTGTTATCGTTATTAATTAATAAATTGATTAATTGATCAATTGATTAATTAATTGATTAATTGAAACATGAAAATTCGGAACGAATTTATTACAAATGCCTCAACGATCAATATATTTATTGTATACACAAGGCATACTTTTTGTCATTCTTTCTTATTTTCCCCTTCTTTCCCTCATTTTTATTACTATTATCATCATTATTGTTGTTATTGTTGTTGTTATTATTATTATTGTTATTTTTGTTGTTATCGCTATTATTATTTCTATTATTAGCGACCGTGACGTCATTTAGAGTCGAGTTGAAATTGACGAAATTGAAATTGAATACAAGTCTCTCGCCATGATGATTGCTGACCTGGAGAAATCTTTTCACCGTCTCACCCGTTTGGTTGATTCCCAGGTCCAATTGCAAGTTATTATTATTATTATCTTTGTTGTTGTCGTTGTTGTCGTTGTTGATGTTGTTAACGTTATCGGTTTCTCTTAAAAGATTGTATAAAGCAATTGTTCTTTATCATCGTCATCATCGTCATCATCGTCATCATCACAATCATACTCAAAATCATCATCATCAGCAGCAGCACTTACATCATCATCATCATCATCATCATTATCAGCACTTACATCATCGTTATCAAAACTCACATGAAGGTCTTCAACGACAAATCGTCCAGTACTCTGATGCTATACTTGACCTTTAGAAACTGACCACTGAATGTCAAGGACAAAAATATCAGTTTGTCCGTATCAGTATTCTTGCATGGGATCACCAGGTCCTTGAATAAACCCTGAGTGAATGAATGAACGAATGAATTAATGAACGAACGAACGAACGAACGAATGAACAAATGAATGAACGAATGAATGAATGAAATTTCCACCTCTTTAAATGCAGTAACGTTTATCTTAATTTTAGTCGACTGGTGGCCTGATATCATTCCTTCGCCTGGTTCGACCAACACTTGGCATTCATTTATTCTTTCACCTTCAATCTATCATCGTTATTATCATAATTTTCATAATAATAATAATAATAATAATTATTATTATTATTATTGTTAATATTATTATCATAAAATAATTATTTTAAAACCGAGGCCAGCCAATCATAGCTAACCTTCAACCACTGGTAAGCAGTACTCAACGCTGATTGGTTGGTCAAAGTGACACACGCGACCACCGATCTATTCACGGTGACGTCATTTAAATTCACGTGACTCTTTTCAAGACATAGGATTGGCTGTTGGACGTTGGCTCTTATTGTGAAGTAACTGTGGTAATGGTAATGATTGAGGGGATAATGAGGTGATGATGACGATGACGATGGTGATGATGATGATGATGACGGTAATGATGATGATGATGATGTAGTTGTTACTCACTTAGTCTGCCCATTGTAAACAGACAACTGCATGTAAAAAACAAAAACTCCAGTGATCTTGGGACTGTAATGAACTTTAACCTTGAACTTTTCAAACGGCCTCAATTGGCCTTCAGCTTTTGGTGTAAAAGTCAAATCATCGATATTGGCCGATAGATCAGAGCTTCTTATGAACCAGCTGACGTGAATTGGTGAGGGGTTCGAAATCTGCACATCCCTGCTGACGTCACAGCCTAACCTGATCAGGCCGAGGTCAATGTCAAGGTTGTCCAGATCTAGTACGGGCGTCTGTGTGTTTTGGCTGGATGTATTTTGTCTGGTTTCGCACGATTATCATCACCATTATCAACATAATCGTCATCATAAGTATCGTCACCGTCATCATTCCTAACATCACCGCATTCATAGCAATAAAAACGACCTTGAATTTAGCAATGACCTTGAGAACCAACAAAAATCCTTCATGATTGGTTGTTGCGTTGTTGTCGTTGTTGTTTATGTTGTTGTTGTTATAATTGTTGTTGTTGTTGTTGTTAATCTCGCAAAAGACGCACTCGTCTATGCTGATTGCACTGGCTGACGTCATGATAACGTCTAGCGTAAGCTCACCGCAGGCGGCTAATGGTTATTATTATCATTTCTATTATTATTGCATTAATTATAATAACAACAATAATAATAATTATTATTATTACTGTTGTTGTTGTTGTCGTCAATGTTGCAATTGAAAAGCATTTATTAGAAGGTGCATTATTCAGCATGCAATACCAATAAGATAATAGAATACCGACACAAAGGCGATACAATGCCAACCGAATACCGACCGATTTCTCCAGATTCTGGTACAACACGTATCTTGTACAGGCACGTACAACTTCTCCATTTGAATTGTATCGGCGATACGCTTTTGTTAATCAACTGCGGTATTTGTATTCATCATCATAACTATCATCATTATCGTCATTATCATCATCATCGTCACCGTCGTCGTCATCATCATCAGCACCACCGCAACTAAAACGACCTTGACATTTCTGCAATGCTCAAGGTCAACCAATAGAGGCGAGGGTACGATAAGAACGGAGGGGTGAAGATAAAATTGATAGGGCACGGTTTTACCCTCGAGGTCTAAATAAAGAACTGGGACTTCTATCAACAACGGAGTGTAACCTTTTGAATGTTGTTATTATTATTATTGTTTATAGTAATAATAATAATAATATTATTATTATTATTAATAGTATTATTATTAATAATAATATTTGTATTATTATTATTATTATTATTATATGTGAATGGGCAAATGCAAGCGAATGAAAAAACGTACATAAACCGTAAGACATGCTACTAAGTTTGTTGCTAACGATGTTGTTGTTGTTGTTGTTATGACTATTATAATTGTTATTGTTATTATTATTATTATTATTATTGTTGTTGTTGTTGTTGGTGTTGTTGTTGTTAATGTTGTGGGCCGCGTTGATGTAATACTTCAAAACCATTTGTAACGAACCGAAACTTTTGTGATGCTGTCACGGAGTGAAGGAGTGAATAAATGAATGAAAGAATAAATGGATGGATGAATGAATGAATGAATAAATGAATGAATGAATGAACAAAAAAGTAAATGGATGGATGAATAAATGAGTGAAAAATCAAACGAACAAATGAACGAACTACCGTCTTTATTAACATCTACATCATCATCACCACTACCACCATCATCATCATCACCACTACCACTACCACCTCCATCATCATCATCACTATCATCATCATAACCTCAACGGGACAAAACGAGACATAGAATTTAATTTCCCCGCAGGCCGGTATGACGCCGTGAGCAGGTTCAACTGCAAACGGAGATTTTCGTAAGGAATCGATCGTTGCATGCACTGCGGCTTGCTTTGTTGTTGTCTGGAAGAATGTTGTTGTTGGTGGTGGTGGTGGTGTTGTTGTTGTTGCTAATGTTGGTGATGGTAAAGCTGTAGTAGCAGTAGCAGCAGCTGTAGTTGTTGATGTTGCTGCATATTTGTTAATATTAGCAGTTGGTTGTAGCATGGACGGGTAGGGCAATATCGGATTTGCTATGATCGGTAAGAGGACTTTGTTGTTGCTGTTTTTGCTGGTGTTGTTGTTGTCGCTTGGCTCTTCATCTTGGAATGAGAGAGTGAATGAGTAAATGAATGAACGAGTAAGTGAATGGATGAATGAATGAGTGATTAAATACACTAACCGACGCCATCTTCACTAATTTTTACGTTACTATTTAAAATATCATCTTCGGCGATCACATCGTCAGCGTTTATTGTCTTCAAATTTGGATAGGCTCTTATCCATTCGTATGCTATATCGACGTCACTGCGAATGAATGAAGGAATGAAAAAAAGAATGAATGAAGAAATGAAAGAAAGAATGAATGAAGGAATGAAAGAAAGAATGAATGAAGGAATGAAAGAAAGAATGAATGAAGGAATGAATGAATCGATAGATAAATTAATTGATGAATAAATGAGTGAATTGACTGAGAATAAATGATTAATGAAACAAACAAATAAATAACCAAACAAACGAATGAATGAATGATCACAGAAAATTGTATGAATGAATAAATAGATGAATGAATAAATGGATGAATGAATGAATGAACGAACGAACGAACGAACAAATGAATGAATGAATAAATAAACAAACAAATGAATGACCAAATATATGAACAAATGAATGAATTAAATAATTTTTATATTCCAAAACATCCACAGCTAACTAACACGCAATTGCGAACTGCTAATATCCTACTGATCTTCGTAAACGGATTGACGGATGGAAACTTGATGAATGAATAAAACGGATCATTACTATTACCACCACCACTACCGCCCTCAAAAGCAGCAGCAGCAGCAGTAGTAGCTTCATCATCGTCAGAAGCAGCGTCGCCGCCACTGTCACAGGTGACTCCATGAACATCCTCAATTTTTAGTATCTCTACCTTCGCCTTCTTGCCACTACCTAATTGTGTGATGACGATCATGATGATGATGATGACGATAATATACTTACTACTTCTACAGCTACTACTACAACAACAGCAACAACAACGACACACACAGACACACAGACAGACAAACAAACAAACCTAATATTTGCAACCTTTTAACATGGCAGTTATCGCAGACAATAACAATGGTCCCAGAGTACACCATCTCTTCAATTGGATTGAACATCACCTCAACATCGATCCATTGCTGAGGGTAAAGTTCAAAATAGATGGGGCTAACTTCGAAGACGTTTCCTAATTTCACGGACCCTTGTCTTATTAGGTTCTGTAAGTTTGTTCATTTGTTTGTTTGTTGATTTGTTTGTTTGTTAGTTCATTCGTTTGTTTGTTTGTTTGTTTGTTTCAATTTAATTAAATTAAGTCTCATAATTAGGCTGCATTAAAATTTTCATGTAAGCTCAAAAGCATGGAAAAATTTCGTCATATTCATCTTTAATTAGGTTACAAACATAAAAATTAGGTCAGTTCACGCTTAATCAGGTCAGAAATGACCTTGAACTTGACAGTGGCCCATTCTTCTTCGTTGAGGATGCAGAAACTGCCAAAACCACCCAGGTTTGCGATTTTGAAGTAGTGGAACTTGACGCTCGAAAGTAGGCAGTCACCCGCGTCTACGTACTCTGGAACTATTTCCGGTGAGGATGACGATGGAGGAGGTGGTGGTGGTGACGATGATGATGGTGATGGTGGTGATGGTGGTAACGATGACGGTGATGAGTATAAAATATCCAAGTCAAAAATTAAAACAAGAGGTGAACATCGATCTAAATTGAGAGGTAGTACTTTCAAGAACAGGGTACTTCCTGGCACCCTTGAGGGGTACATTAAATTGGCACCCCTCGTCGACTTCTACAATCAAGCTATCCTCATATTCGCAAAGTGAATCCGGGCAAAATTTGACCATGAACTTGCAATGAAGGCCCGGAGCTACCATGCCCTGTGAACTTGGGAACTGACCTTTGTGTCAATGTGTGTATGTGCGTGTGTGTGTGCGTGCGTGCGTGCGTGTGTTTGATCGTTTGCAATGCATTGAAATATTTTTTATACATATATAACTAGATGACATCGAATACAATGAAATACCGGTACCGAAAACGAAACAATACCGAATACAATAAGATCCGATACAAAAAATACAATACAATTTAATACCTAATCCAATGGAAAAATACGGTGTAATCGGTGGTATCACTCTGAGGTTGTGAGATGATGACGATATGTTCTTCAAAAATAACGGCATCTGATGATGATAATGATGGTGATGGTAATGATGATAATGATAATGGTGGTTATGATAGCGATGATAATGATGATGACGATTGCTGACATCACGATTGTGACTGAATTGATGAAAATGCAAATTTAAAAAAAAGTCATTTCATTTTTTTCCCTATTGAGTATTATCATCTCTATCGTCATCATCACCACCACCACCACCATCATCATCATCATCTTCGTCATCACCATCATCATTATCATCATCATCTTCGTCATCACCATTATCATCATCATCTTCGTCATTATCATCATAACCTCATAAACTTGACCGATGGAATAGCAGGTGAAAATAATTTGAGGCGGACAGGGCAAAAATGAAGACGACGATGTTTTTGTTGTCGACAAGGATGATAATAAAGCGCTATACAAATTATCAAAATTAAGCGCTAAATATTGAATTAATATGAATAAATTACAACTATTAATTAATTAAGTAATTAATTAATTTACTTATTTTAAATAATAAACCATTAAAAATTTTTATAACGTTAAATTTGAAAAACTTTAATGAGGGAGTTTTCTTTTTCTTATTTTTTTCTCTCACTGACGAAGAGTTGACATTATAACAACATATCAGTGATCCGTTCGAAAACATATTATTATTGTTATTATTATTATTATTATTATTATTATTATTATATATGTTTAAGTTATCCAGGCATTTACCTTTGAAAAAAAATAGCAAAATCGTAAAAATTAATTGTAAATTGTGTAGTGGTAATAGTAGTAGTAGTAGTAGTAGTAGTAGTAGTAGTAGTAGTAGTAGTAGTAGTAGTAGCAGTAGTAGTAGTAGTAGTAATAGTAGTAGTAGTAGTAGTAGTAGCAGCAGCAGTGGTAGTAGTAGAGGCAGCAATAGAAGTAGTAGTAAAAGTTGTAGTATAACAACAATAATAACAATAAAAATAATAATAATAATAACAATGAAGATTTACTATTTTTGTCATTGTTCTTTCTATGAATGTCTGGCAGATGGAACGAAAGACTTCTAATGTCAGCCGGTTTAATTAAATAATACTTATCTAATAACTCCGAATCAATAAATTCTGAAAAACGGCTAGACGCTGTGGTATTAAATACAAATAACTTATGATAATTGAAAATAACTTACGAATAAATTATGAAAAATTATCGTAATGATTATGATTTTTACCAGGCGAGATGAAAATATCATCAGTGTAGATAGATTGGCGTTTCAAATTTTCTGTCATTTCATCTTCCAGCAATAAGCATTCTGCTTGCGATTTCAATATGTGCTTCTCGACTGTTTCAATTTCTTTTAAACGCATCTCGTGAGATATTTTTATCTTTAAATAATAATTTTTCAAGTTTAATTCTCAAAAATATTTTAATTATTTTATATTATTTTTTTATTTTACAATTTTTTCTTGTATTTTTCAGAAGTACTAACAACAAACACACAGTATACGTTATGTGGTGTAAAAAACACGTGAATCAATTAACGCATTACACACACACACACACACACACACACACACACACACACACACACACACACAACACACATTGTTTAGAAGCGTTTAAAATTTTGTTCTACAGAATGTATTTGGAGTTTGAGATATATAGAAATGAATTTGTAAGGCGATAGAAGGTAGATCTTCTTAAAATGTTGAAAAACCTTTAGTATAAGAGAGAGTATAATATAGTATAACCTTTAGTATAGTATAAATAATATGATGAACTACTGTTAGCTAGCAACCTTTTCCAATTTTTGCACGAATTCGGAATGGGGATTGTTTTCATTCTTCGAACTTTTGATTAAATTTTTTACCGTTTCGTTGCACACCTGCAACGAACTAGTGTTGTAATATTTCTTAAAAATTCTATTGAGAACGTGCGAAACATCTTGAGATTTCGAAACTGCCGGATAATTACGATTCAAATGCAAGTTATTGTCGCTTGGTAGATCCATTATTTGAATTTATAGCAATATAATTATAGTTATTAAAAATAATTGTATAAAATTCAATTATCAATTCATTTTTCATCCACAATTTTATATAGAAACTTTATGAAGTGTTTTAAAATCTGTTACCAAGCAACGGCATTTAAATGATTAAAAGTGCATTGTGTGAATATAATATTTGGTGCCGAAATAGCTTAGTACCGAAATATAATAAAGCTCGCCATCAATGCAGCAGAAATGTATTAGCATATTTCTTTGTTAGGTGCCTCCATAATTGTTTTGTTCCGTGCTATAAGTTGCCGTGAAATTTGAAGATTATTTTCGATAAATTAGGATTTTAGTAACGTTAAATAGTTCGAAAGAAAGGTACATTTTTATATTTTTTTTCTGCTGAAGTAAAGTTTCATTAGCTAAAAAAGTAATGAAAATTTTGATGTTGCGTAGTTGCGTTTTGTTCAGAGCGGGTTACTTTTTTTAAAATATTTATTAAAAATTTAAAATTAGGTTACGTTACGTTACGAGTAACTAGTGTCACTAATTTTGTAGTTACTAATTTGTAATGTAGTTGGTATTTATTTCGTTGCTGACTGACGTTGTTGCATGAACTTTTAAGTTTCGTTAGTTTTTGTTAGTTTTGGCCTGGTTTTTTTTTTCAGTCAAATGTTCTGTGCTGCAGAAAAAAGATTCAAATTCAAAAATATTAGCTAAATAAATTTTAAAATGAAAAATATTGCTGCTAACTTGTTAAGTTACGTTACTACTTAGACTTACTTTTACTCTTATTTAAAATAAGCATTAATATTGTTTGTTGGTTAAATTTAAAACTTTTTATCTATTTCTGATTAGGCGTTACATTTTGTCTCTGAGTTTTTAACACAAAGTGGATATATATTTTATAAGAAATTGAACTTCTGCTTAAAATGTTGCAACTTGAGTTTATTACTGTTGTAACTAATAGTTGTACTGTTGATAATATTTTGCTAAAGTACATTCATGAGATAAGAAAGTTTAGGTTTTTGTTGTCACTGAATTTACGTAAGAAACATTTATTGTTTTACTTCAAAGGATGATGAAAAGATTTCCCAAATTTAACGAGTTTGAACCAATGTTGCCTCCGGATCCGAGGATGTTCCCATTCGATCCCAACTTCATGCCCCCACCACTACCACCGAAACCTTTTCCAGATCCCTTCATGCCACCACCACCTTTGCCACCACCACCAATGGAATTTCAGTTTGAAACGTTCACCAGTTTGAGACTTAGTAATATAAACCCACGAGTACCAGATGAAGAAGTGAGGGAGACTGTGTACCATTGTTTCAAAAAGTTTGGGGAATTCAACATTAAATTCGCTCACACAGTAGATAGAAGACTAGTCTACGTCAACTTTGCCCACACAGAAGATGCACAGGCAGCTAAAAATGCAATGTCAGGTAGATTAGAACTTTTTGATCGACTGATTTGCATAGAACCCGTCAACCACAACAAGCAATGGAATAAGCCTCCATTCTTCAGGAACGACATGTTCAACATCAACTACGTCCCTCCCCCTAAGATTCCCATGGATCCACTTGCCGTCCCTCCTATTGAGGGACCATCAGTGGGTGCCTGGGAGTTTCAGAGAAGAGATGCAAGGTTCCCCGATGCCTACTTCCCTCTTAAACCCGGGGAAGATCAGAGACAGTTGATCGACATGAAGCATATTACTCCAGAGGAAGATAAGAGAGCAACTAGAACATTATTTGTTGCTAACGTTGATGACCAGATGGCGCCTGAAACTTTGAAGAAATTTTTTGATCCATTTGGTATTGTGGAGGACATCGACATTAAATGCCCCGTAAAAGGAAATGGTAATCCATACGCATTCATTAGATTCTTCAATTTAGACATGGCATATGCTGCCAAGGTAGAATTATCTGGTCAGTTTCTCGGAAAGTATCAATGCAAAATCGGGTATGCTCGTCCTGTTCCTACAACGTGCGTGTGGATTGGCGGTCTGACGGAAAATGTTAAAAAGCAAGACATCATCATCCAGTTTGAAAGATTTGGAAAAATTGTAGCATTTCAATGGCCTAAAGATCAGTCTTATGCTTATGTGGCTTATGACAATGTAGAGTCTGCTCAACTAGCTATCATGGAACTACGAGGCTTTCCAGTTCCCGGCACTCTTAAGGGTTTAAAAACCGATTTTGCTGAATTGAAACAGATGGAAGGTCCTCAACCGAAAGAAAAAAGATCCAAGAAGAAGCACAAACATAAAAAGTCAAGAAGTAGAAGTGCCAGTAGTAATGATGAAAAACGTAGTAGGAAAACAAAACACAAACGCAGGAAGAAGGTTTCCAGACGTAGTGAAAGTGAAGATAGTTACAGTTCTGATGAGAAGTCAAAACCGAGTCGTAAGAAGAAGAAGAGATCTGTCTCCACGTCATCATCATCATCAGAAAGTGCATCATCATCGAGTGAACCTCGAAACAAAATGTCTTCAGATAAAAAAAGATCAGCTTTTCAGATTGGTAACATTGAAGCAGCAGAAACAATCATTGATCTTGCTCGATGTTTGCCAGTTCTTTGGAGTGGTCCAATCGAACTGAAGAACAGTACATTCTACACACACATGCATCACGTCAGTGGCAATGGACATTTAGTTGACAGCCTCCTAAATGGATTGATCACATCAGAACATTCAGCACTCAAAATCAACCAAAGGTTGAGGTTAGATAGATCAAAATTGAAAGAAGTTGAACGACGCATCAACACAAGTGGTGACGATGGTCACTGCGTTTTGTTAGCTGTCTCAGAGAACAGCAAGGATGCCAGCAAACATCGACCTCTCACTAATTTAGTCTCATATTTGAAGCAGAAAAATGCAGCTGGGGTACTATCTCTACCTTCACTAACCAAACAAGGGCAAGAAGCTGGCCTACTCCACACCTTTCCTCCATGCGAATTTGCGCATGGATTTTTGCAGAGATGTGCTCCTAAACTAACTTCATTGTACAATGGTAATGATTACATTGTTGTCATACTCATCAAAGTTAGCTTGTAGGACAGGAGCTACTGATTGATTGGCTCTCATTGGTTGACTGACTAATGGATAGATGGATGAAATATGATGGGTGTTTATTATTCTTGACTTTTAACGTTTGACTGCTCTTGTGAATGTAAATAACTGAATGAATGAATGCTTTGATGTGTGTATGTTTAGTATGATTTTTGATAGAAACAATGTATGTTCATGTACAAATAACAAAGGTTTTTCTATTTAGCTTTATTTTATTCTTTATAAAATACAATATGGACAATTTATGCTACTCTCTGTGTGCTTGTACATGTATAAATACATTGTGTGCATGTATGCATGCCTATATATATATACATATATACATACATACACCGAGGATTGTATTGGAATACAGAAAAAAGCTTTTTTGTTCTATCATGCTTATAATAAATGAAAATTTTGGTTTTGATTTCAAGAAACTTGGCAATGATTTACCACCATCTACCGTTAGAAAAATAAAAAATTAAACAAGAAGCTAACTAATTTGGAACATGCTGTGATTTTCATCATTAATTGTATATATATATATATAAATATATATATACATGTATATATGCATGCATACATACACACATAATACACACATTGTTTTGTTTTTATATAATTATATACACATGGAGAGTAGCAAAAATATCTATATAATATTTTATAAACAATAATATAAAATAATAATTTCATTTCTGACAGTCTTAATTTAATATATATATATATATATATATATATATATATATATATATGTATATATATATACACGAATCAAGTAACATTGTTAATGATGTTTTATTTCTATTTGTAAACATTTTCTTTTTAAATTCAATTTCTTATCTGTTAAAATCAATAAAGCAAGTCAATTTAGGTAATTTCTTTCTATGTTTTATTTAAATGGAAAAAAACAAACAGAAGATAGATAAGTTGTTAAGGTTGAAACGAATTTTCATCTGCAGTGCATTTAAACATTAATCCCTTTCAATCCTAGAAAGTAGTGGTGTCCTGCCTGAGGCTATGATTAAAATGAAATAATTTGGTTATAATTATTAATTAAGTTAATTATTTCATTAATTATTTAATTAATTAAAATAATTGAATATGCTACAGGATTTTTAAAATTCTTGAAAAAAGTGTCAAATTTTCTTTACTGATGCTTTCAATTCTTGATCTTCTCTCAGCTGTACCAACAAAAGCTGCTGTAATTTTTATTGCTGCCTCTGACAATTCTGGGATTTTTTAATAATTATAATAAATTATGATATTATGAATATTATTTCAAATAATAATAGTTATTGTTGTAAATAATTTTGGTTGTTTCTTACTTTTTTCCTCTTCCTCGTTCAGCACATCATTTATTTCATTTATGTTTTCTGGTTGCACCAGAGCTTTTCTACATAAAAAAATGGCATAAATAAAATAAAATATTCTCAATTTTTTATTTTTACAAATTTCTTTTTAGGTTTATATGTTTATTAAAATAAATATTTCTAAAAAAATATACTTTTTCTGTTTCAGTAGCTTCCTATCTTGATAACCTCTCCAAACTTTTTGTATCTTGATAGCTGCAGCTTCCTTTGTCATGTTTATCATCAGCCTGTTTGAGATAAGGACTTTGTAATCTTTCTGTATGAGTTGGGCTGCCTTGTTGTACTTTTGTGAACACATGACTCCCATATCATCATTCTAATTATGAAATTGTTAATGGGATTGTACTAAAATAAGGAGATTGTGTAATATGAAAATTATAATATTGCTAGCTGGAATTTATCATAAAGGTGTGTACTAGCAATAAAAGGGTTAACATTGAACAAGGCAGTTAATTAAAAATGTAAAGAATTTTTAAAAAATATTGTTTAGTTAGTAAATGCTTTTTATTATTAGTTGTGGGTTTAGTTATACCTTCATACATTACATACACAGAATAGATAGCAATAAAATAGATTGATTATGTATAAATAAAAACTCATTCATTTTGAATCAATTTATTTTGAAAAAAAAAGACAAGTTGTTAACTTGGCCACCCACATTTTGGCATTGTAGAATCTTCCTTAATGATCAGCTCCAAGCCTGGATCTGCATGCATTGTTGCTAACTGAAGTAACGTTTAATTAAAACAATTTATAATTTATTAGTTTAATCGATTAAATACTACCGCAACAATGTTTTTATTTTGCTTACCGTTTCTGGCGTTTAACAGAAATTGAAAATATCTGGCCCCAAAGATGATAATATCGTCTGGTTGATTCCTCAAAACTTCTCGCGTAAAACCTTCTAGAAGGTTACGAAACCCTTGCGGAACACGAATTTTAGTGTTCGAAAAAGGAACGGCCATTATTTTAAAGATAATTTAGAACATTTTAAATAATTTAGGTTATATTTTTCAAACGTTTTAGAATACCACAAAATGTCCGCTAAACGCCGTTGTTAAGGCAACATGGTACACCATTAACAGAAAACAGAAAATCGATAATTTGAATAAAAAATTTGGCACTTCTGGTATCTCTTCTTGAATCACTATAGTTTTATTTCATTCTTTTTCACTGATTGTTTATCATTTTCAACTAAATTATTACATTTACATGTTGAATTACACGTTTAATTGTGTTAATGGCATTTTATTAAGCAGAAAAGCACACAAATACAGCTTTTAAAATGAACATTTTCAATTATTTTCAGTTAAAAATTAAGTTAAACATTATTAACTCAGCAATTTTTTTCTTTTTCTTTAGTCAGACGGAATTTTATGTCTGGTATTTTCGAATTTTCCCAATCTCCCTTCAAATGTTAATGGTAAATTAATCAAATTTTTGTGTTTATTTCAAATTATTCGTCCTATGAATAAATGGAAAAAAATGAATGAATAAATGATTGATTCATTTATTGAAAGATTGGTTTAATAACTCCTTCATTCATCCATCAAAACATCCATGGCCCATCCATTCATCAATTATTTCGTCAATCAATCAGACAGACATTCAATCAAGGCAAAATAAAACGGCATATGTTAGTACAAAAATCAGTGATATTCCTATCCAATTGTGACACTAATTTACCGGGAATTTCACTCCATTTGATTTGTTGCACTGCATCGATATTGGGGCCGTATCGTAGAAGTTCCTTAGCATATCGACTTTTTCTCTCGTCCAGTCAATGGTTTGATAATTATAAGAAATACCGTTCTCTAAGTCTATATCATCGTCAAACTTTCTGCCAAATGAAGCGTTTCATTATATTTAGTTATATATGGATAATGCAAATAATATATAACGCCAGGAGAACTTAACAAAAGCCTTCTACAAAGTTAAAACCAAAATTTATACATTACGCTACTTGCAAAACGAGATATGTCAACGAGTCATTGTAAGGGTTAATAATATATCACCAAATATATATAACATGTTAATAGCATGTTATATAACATATAATATAGAATATAACAGAGTATGTTATATTCTCTCTCTCCCTCTATATATATATATATAGAGAGAGAAAGAATATATATATATATATATATATATATATATATATATATATATATATATATATATATATATATATATATGATAATCTCTTTAGCTTTGCCAACCTTTTCATTAAATCAAAAAAGTCGTAGAGAGATTTGGTTGTTACTGAACTTTTACAGACTTCCAAATTTACAAGTGGATAGTAATGGATGTAGTTGACGCACATCTCATCAGATATTGAAAATCCACCCTAAGATAATTTTCTATTTGAGATTGTATCAGTGCTTTATATATTTTATCAGTGCTTGTAATTGTATCACTGATTGTATTTGTGTCACTGTTTGTATTTGTATCACTGTTTGTATTTGTATCATTGTTTGTATTTGTATCACTGTTTGTATTTGTATCATTGTTTGTATTTATGTATGACGGATTTATACCAAGTTTAGCGTTTTTAAATTCTTAGTGTCATAAACTTTGGAATTAAAATTTTTCAAATTAAAATTTCATAATTCTAAAATCCAACTCACCAAAGTTACGTTGTCTTTGTTTCTCGTCTGGTCAACGCATGTAGTGACCAGAGCATCACCCTTTTTTTGATTAACACAATAAATAAACGAAAAAAGACAAAAATTATTTACTACAATTATAAAATAATGAGATTAACTCATTTTAATAAACAGTTTCAATGTTGTTAACTATATTTTCTAAATCTCTTAAACTAATTTTCAAAAGTTACTGGACCGGCAAAACTAAGACTGGCTCGTGTAGACGTCTGATTTCTTGATAGTGGGGGCTATAATGGTCGTCCCTATTCAGCTCGGGCAGTTCTATACCCCCTCTGATGTGTTTCGTGTATATCTTCATGCCCGTCAGGTGCGTGTGCAGTTGCGAACTGAACACGTAGATGCCTTTTGATGGAAGAGCCTTGAATGAATGAATGGATGAATGAATGAATGAATGAATGAACGAACGAACGAATGAATGAATGAATGAACAAACGAATGAATGACTAATGACAGTGCAGTTGTCTTTAGTTGACTCAGTGTGTGCTTGGTTTGATGTTGGTTTTTCTGAAAAATACCAAAAAGAGAATCGTAATAAATGTAAGAAATACGGAACAGAAAAATTATTTCGTCGGAACATTTCTACGCTAACCATTTCGGTGCATTCCGGAATGCAGTAGCCATGCAGTTCCCATTTGGGTAGATGAGGCGGTAGGGCCATCTTGTCCGTGTATTCCAGTCCTATCTCCATTATGCCGGCATCGAAACGTCTTAGTTGTCTCGTTATGTAGAATCGAATTCCTGAACTATCCACCAGACCTGATGTTTCGGATTTCAAAAAATTATAATGTAACATAATATTTTATAGTTCGATTTTCTGAATACTTAAAAGGTTAAAAATCCAGCCAACCGCTAATGTGCAAAGGGTTGTTGTAGTGAACTTCGATCATAACGAAACGAGACATGTGAGGTCCACCAATCGGAGCCCCAGCTTCAAATGGGTAGGTCATGTACTGTTTTGAATGTAAGCGTGAGTGTCTGCGTGTGTGTGTGTGTGCGTGTGTGTGTGTGTGTGCGTGTGTGTGTGTATGTGGTGTGTTTGTGGCCAAATTAGTGAAAATTCTAAAAAGCGTCATGAAACATTATTCTTTCCTCACATCGGCCCCCATAGCCCAAGCTCCCAAAACTTTTGTACAGCTTTCGAGCCCCTTTGGTCGTTCGGCCATTGATTTGCAGGGAGCGTTGTACCTGATGACGTCACGGCCTTCTGGTATCTGGCAGTTGAAGACCTCTAAGTGGTGCACAATGCCTTGGGTCTCCTTGCTTATTGCCCCCTCGTACTGAGTCCAGAAAAATGTGCGTGAAAGAAAAGTGCTTTTTAAAGTTTTGTTAATGTGTCCGAATTTTGATACAAGTTTTTGTGGTTTCTAATTAATTAGACGTTAAATATTTAATGATCACATTTTTTTTAATTAATTATGATAAAAATCGATTAATATTATTTAATTTATTCAGTAAATTAATAATTAAACCAATAAAAACACTTATTAACTTTAATTATGTGATGCTTGTCAACGAAGTTAGGCAACTTCTTCACAGTACACCAATACGTTGTTTCATCGAGTGGGACTGGAACCTGGAGAGGTAGAGAAGAAGAGAGAGGAAAAGAGAGAAAGAGGAGAAAAAAAGAAAGAGAGAGAATTAAAGAAAGATAGAGAAAGTGCAAAAAATATATTAAAATAAAATTAATCTCTATATATGTAAGAGTCATCAATATTTATTTTATACGCTCCAACCCACACACACACACACACACACACACACACACGCACACGTACACAAAACAAAAACGGGATCTAACTTGATCAACGTGGACAACCAACTCGCGGACATCGGTGGGCTTAGGGGCGTCAGGAATTTGACTTTTCAAGAGTTGCACCCTTTGAACTATGACCTTTTCTTCCATGAGGTTAATTCGGTCTAGGCTACTTATGGGCCCTTTGTGGTTGAAGTATACAAGGTGGGTGGTTCCTTTCTAGAGTGAAAAATTTATTTAGTTTGGTCAAAAATATTTGGTTGTTTTTAGAAAAGATATTGAATTTATAAACTTGTATATCACTATTTGGTTGTTATTCCAATTTCTGCAAAAAATCAAAGTATTTAAATTTCAGGACCCCTTTTAGGCCCAGCAAAATATTTCACGACCCACCAACCCAAAACCAACATCAATGATGTAGTCGTCTTCATCATCGCACGTGTCGTAGCTTCTATGGAACTTAATAACAAGAGGGCCCTGGTGATTTCTGCCGCTGTTTTTGCGTTGGGCATCTTCAAGGATATAGTTCTGCTGTTTGTCTACTTGCAGTCTGCCAAAATTGTCCGTGTGTGCGTCCTTTAAGTGCGTGTGTGTGTGTGTGTACGTGTGTGTGTAGTGTGGTGTAATTGGTGTGTTTTACAAGTTTATGTTTGTGTGTGTGTGTGTATGAATGGGAAAGTGTTTGTTAATGTAAGTACATCTATATATTTGTTTGTGGTTCGTTCGTCCGTTCATCCATGCACTCATTCATTTATTAATTCATTCATCTATTCGTTCAATTATTCATTCAATCATTCATTCAATCATTCACTCATTAATTCATTCATTTATTGTTCGTTCGTTCATTCATTAATTCATTCATACAAACACATCCTGTGATTAGCAAAACGCGCAAATGCTTCCGCCCCTCCTCCGTATTGCAGCATCCGTCGAGAGGAAAAGGAAGTAGGTTATTAATTTATTTTTGGAGTTTTTGGTTCGTTTCCGGAAAATGCACTCACAAATGCAACGCTATTTACAAAACGATGTTAGCAAATGTGAGTTCTTCGTTTGTGAAAATAAAACATTTTTCTGGTGAGTTTGTACACTGTTTGTATACGAAAACCATCTCGTGTAAATTTTTGTATATATACATTGCATTGTATTGTATTGTACATTATTGTATTGTATTGTATTGTATTGTATTGTATTGTTTTGTATTGCATTGCATTGTATTGTATTGTATTGCATTGTATTGTATTGTTTTGTATTGCATTGTATTGCATTGTATTGTATTGCATTGTATTGTTTTGTATTGTATTGTATTGCATTGTATTGTATTGTATTGTATTGTATTGTATTGTTTTGTATTGCATTGTATTGTATTGTATTTTATTGTATTGTATTGTATAAATACCGTTTGGTGTGCGTATTGTTTGTTGTATTGCGAAGAATCTCAAAGCATTTATTTGATTATTAGCTTATTGCAGGATTTGACCGCAGGCCTTCATTGGCTGTAAAGAGTCATATGCCAATTCTGATGGAACATATATTGTTTAATAAATTTCTTATTGTCGAGTGCTCTCTTCTTTGCGTTCGTTCATTCGTTTGTTTGTGTTTGTGTTCGTTCGTTTG